GCCAGGCTAGATTTTGGCAAAACATTTGATCATATAATTCTGCACAGCTATTTGCAAACTAATCTCTTACACCTATACAGTTTGAAGGGCTTCTTATTTTTAAGAATCATCAAAGTATCTCAGGAACAGCTGCTGAACAAAACAACTACAGGATACTTCGCCATCTTTACCCAGAACTGTCAACTGGTACACCACATTCCAAGATGCTCTGAAAGTGCCAATTCACAATCTGAAAAGTAAAGATGAAACTAATCTGCTTCATTTATTCTTTGTGTACCGATTGCTGATTCACACCAATTCTCAGCTCTTCATCAAATCAGAATTAAATTCTAATTGTATTTAAAATATTGTATTGTATGCAGCTAGTTTTTGTTAAGATTGACCAGCTGAGATCAGAAGCCAACTGGTATCAGTTTCATATGTAACCTGCCTTTATTTTTATCCCTGATTGTGAGGGGAAAAGGGATTACAAGCATCAGCAAATTTGGAAATTAGGTCTCTTTTGAAGGGGCTGTATTCCAGTAACCCCCAAGCAAATGATCCTACATTTGTACCACTAAATAAATATTCCCACAAGAGGCAGAGCAATTTGCAGGCCAATCTGTGTACTCATGTGTATTTCAGCGGCCTGCGGGGAAAACAACAGCTCTAAGTAAGAAGTTCAACTCAGAGTTGCTTACAGTGTAAAGTAGAATGTCCCACAGTCTCAAAGAATGATTGTAATGTTTAAAGGAATGTTATGATCCACTTGAAACTAAATATATTAATGAAATTAATTTCTTTAAGGAACACACAGACAGCAAAATGCTGTTGTGATAGGGAGGCTAGTTGATCTTAATCTGAGTTTTTAGCTCAGAACTGGAATAAAGTACAATAAAATAACGAGTATTTGACAGCAAGCTACGTGAACAGTGAGATGCATAGTTACTCCAGTTTCCTATACTTCTTCCCCCTCTTTGTGTGTGTTCAAAACATTCTCACATCTTGATTTGTGGCCAAGTTTGGTTTTGCTTTATTTCCATTTGGATAATGTCTTAAAGTTGGTCTTTTCTGATAAGGTCTAATAAAAACATTTAACAGGAGCTCAACACTGCTTTGGGCCTCTAGCAAATAAGAGCACATCTCACTACAAAGGCAGTGGCTTCCCCTTCAGAAGGGAGAAGGAAAGAAAGAAAAAGAGGTGGGGTGTTAAGTGGCTTTGAATGACTCCCTGAAATGCAGAACAGGGGCAGGAATCTTTCCCTCATCCTTTCTCAGTGAGGGCCCATCCCTGATTAGCTTGAGGTTCTCAAACAAACTTATCACCACATATGCATCACAGACACTTCCTTTTTTTTTTTTCAACATCCAGTGCACACCTTCACACAAAAACAGGTTCCATCACAGAAACATGACATAGCCCTTGAACTCAAATGGCATAAAGGGTAGAGATTTCCAGTGCTGATCATTAATTGCACACCCATTAACTTATCTACAGCCGTCTATCCAGAGATCACAGCCAGATAGGCATAGTGTCACTCTGCTCAACAAAAGGATATGGAGCAACCTTAGCCACCAGCAGAAATGGAACTTGCCTCTCACTCTGCAGCTGTGCCAGACGTTTCCGTACATCATCCACCGTGACTTCAAAAAACTCATCGGGAAGCTCCTCTGGGCCAGCAGGAAGTGGTTCTAGTAGGTCTAGGTGACATACAAGTGGCTCTCGTTCTGCAAGCTACAGAATAAAAATGAGTTTTGATTAGTCTTAAATGCACCATTTTGCTTATGCTATAAGGTTCCTGAAAAAGGAACCTTACAGAATAAGTAAAAGTAGAAAGAAGTAAAAGGACAGTATCTGCAAACTGAAATACAATCACTAGTGTGGAATTCATGTCACTAAGATCAGACTAATGACACAGAGGTGGTCAGTGTTGTCATTTTTTATAGCTGGTAGAGCTTGGGGCACAATTCCTCCCAACAAGCAATAGGCATCTATATTGTCAGATGAGCTACACCCCATCACTTAGCTGCTCTCCACTGTCAGTATAAGAAGCCCAGGGTAATAACCTCATCAGTCATCTAACATAAGGAGAGATAACCCCCTTCCAGGGAGCGCCTGGGGAATCTCTTCACTTACAATATAATGATATTTTGCAGCTCGACCATACTTCTGGCTAGTTACAAGCTTGTCACAAGTACTCAGAAATTACTCCTCTCCCAAAACCATAACCTACCTCTCTCTGCTCTACTCCAAAAATCCCTCTGTATGTAATCACTTCCTTACCATTCTACAGGCAGCATACAACTTACACAGGTGCTATTCTTCACACTACAGACTATAAACCGCCCTTTTAAGTTTGTCATCTGCCACGCACTCCTGGCTCTCGTCTTATCTTCTGCTCTCTTTGCTTCACATTCTCTTGCCACAGAACCAACAGCACTAGTTCCCAACCAGGGCTCACTTCACTTCTTCAATCCTTTGTTTTGGTAAGGTAGTTTTTGATCTGTTGAGTTGTTTGAATTGAGCCACTGCAGTGGGTTTCATTGTTCATGTTTCGAATTTTTAACCTGGCTTCTGGTGTGCAGGAAGCTCCCTCAGACAGTGAAAATCCTTTTGTTTGGAACTCTGGAAAGTACTTAGCACTGAAATCAGCCTTTGTTGCAGGCAAAGCAGACAGATGCGAGGGGAGCAGTTCACTGTATGCATTAGCTGCAATAAAGGTACTTAATACATTTATTGGCAACTTTCCCTGCATTTGAGGACAGGCCATCCAAGCAGCTCACAGACCTCAAACAGCCAAGACACCCTTCTCGCCTGCACAGCAGGGCACAGGCAGCCTGGCCACTCTGTTCCCCCTGGCTCCAGAGCCCAGAACTGGGAGTTGGGTATCATGCTGGCAAACCTTTCAGCACAGTTGTGTCCTGGCCTATAACTGTGGTTGCAGCTACCGTGAAAAACAAACAAACAAACAAACAAACAAACAAACAAAAAAGAACCTTCAACCACCACCACCAAACAAAAAACAAGACCAAAACCCACAACCCCGCAAAAACCCCAAACCGAACCCCAATCCCCCCAACCTATGAGACAAACAGCATTCACTGTCTCTGAAGGGAGAGTGACATTACGTATCCCTCACGATTTAGAGAAGATTAGACACTGCCTACTATCGCTTACATCAAAAGCAGCAGCTGTGTCGGTATGTGAATATAAGCCGCTACTGGAGTCAAATACACAAGAAGCAGTTACACCTATTGGCTCTTGAACAATTTAAACTTTTTATATCATAGCAATGTTTCAACACACAAAGCTTGAAAACAAACAGAATAGTGTACTGCAGGCCACAGGAGATGCAGGGGGGAAGCAGTCCGTGACTGAAGAGCCCCACGAGAACAAAAACTTTGACAGTTAGTACAGCATTTTTCTTTACAGTCAGCTGCCAGCCTAACACAGCTTTAGGCTCAATGAACAAACCTGACGCCCATTTCTTCTCCCCTTATTCCCTCACGTACTCTTTCCAATCCTAATTAATGTCCAAATGTCCTCCCTCCATCTGTTCCACCCATTCTTCCTTCCCCCAGGCACAGGCCCCATGGGAACAGGAGTCTCCCTCAATTGTCAAAAGCGACAACACAAATTACAAGGCAATGTTCACTCTGCTTGTGGGCACTAAAGGGTAATTTGAGAAATTAAAAGAGCGAGGTTGTGTGGGTTGGACCCTTGGCTACTTTTAGAAAGTTGAGCAGGGTCAGCTCTAACTAGCGGGTGAAGGAGTCTGATTGCAGCTTTCCCGGGGCTCAGGAGGAGGAATGCCCAACACTGCAGGAGTCATCCTGAGTGTGCAGAGCCACGCTCTGGGAAAGGGCCTGTCGCTCAACAGTCCTCACTGCTGCACACAGCTGGTCTGATAAGGTCAGACCAGTGTCAGAGGCCAGAGGAGAATTAATCAACCCTCCCCAATAATCAGGTGTACTTTAATCTCCTCAAACAGGCTTAATTTTCATTTAATTCTAAACACACACATATGGAAAAGTAAGACTTCTCCTTCCAAAAAAAAGCCAAAAAATAAAAGGCTGGGCAGGCATATCCTGTGGCATGTTGGGAAGGGTGCTGGGATACAATGGAGAGAATTCCAATGTCTGCATTAGCAAATCCTAAACTTACCATTCAATACTGGCTCCAGCAACCACTTCAGCTAATCCTAACAGTAGCAAGATTCCACAGGGAAAGCATCAGTCAGTGGGTAGTAGCTAAAGCCTTCAGCCAAGACAAGAGAAATCACAAGACAGCAGAAGGCAGACAGCCCAGTCCTAAGTTTTCACCCCTCTGTTCACTGCTCCAGACCACTGTATGTTAAAATTGTCATTCAAGAGTTGCTTTCCAGACATCTTCGTTCAAACAAACGAGTCTCCGTTGCCAACAAGGTACTGCAAACGGGCAGTCAGGAACTTCCCCCTAGTGCCATTCCCCAGCCTACCAGAACTACCTACATGCTGTGACACAAAATCAACTGCTTCCTAGACATAAATGCCCTATTCTTGACCTCCAACTTGCATCCAACCAAGACGTCCTTGTTTAATTCTCCGCAGGATACCTGTACTGGCCCCACACAGACACACTGCTACCTTTTAGCTTCTAAGTCTGTAATTTTATCTGTTTCCCCAGCTAACACTGAATGCTGAATATCTTAACTTCAAAACCAAAGCACATTACTTGGCTACTACTTAACATGAAGAAACCTACTTTTCTGTACAGAAGAAGGAGCAGATCTGTGCATGTCTAACAAGACTGCAAAAATATACAATTGGAGTAAGAATTTCCTAATATTAAATTTTCAGCTAACCCCCAATAAGAGACCTCTGGAGAGAGCTGTAATGGGTGAGTTTTTGTGAAGCATAATTCAGATGGTTTGAGCTTGTTTTTCAGCGTTTCTGCAACTCAATTCCAGAATTGCACAACATGGTCTGATCAGAGAAGGGGAGCACAAGGTGTCTACTAAGCACTGCTTAGCAACCACAAGACATTATCATTTTGCCTCTGAGGATGCAAAGACTGCCACATCATAATAATATAATATCTCTTCTGCCATATATTTAACACCCTGAGAAATCAACCATACATCTCACCTCCCTACAGACGTAAGAAACACTCTTCAGAGAGAAAGAAGTATCCACTCCTGTTGCTCTACCAATTCTCTTTCTCTAGAGTCCAGCCATCATCCCATTCCTCCTTCTTCATCCATTACCATTTGCTCGCTTAAGTATTCCAAGTAGGCATCATTCAATCCGAGTACTCTGAATAAAGCCTTATTTTAACGTCACCAACAATCCTAAAGCACAGACAGAATCCAAAAACTACCTTCTCACCATGATTTACAAAAAGGCAGCTACCAGGTACACCAACTCGCTTCCCAGTCCACTACACATCCAGTGTTTTCTCCAACCATGACAAAAGGTAAACATCTCTGTAATAATAAATGGCCACTATATGGCAGTTTCTACCTTCCATGACGTAACTCTGGAGGAAAGCAAGCTGTGCATTTTGCTGTCATATTTCTGACAGCGATACCCTTCAGGAGCCAAAGATGCTGCATTATGGTTTGTCACCTTCATTCTTCAAAGTCTCTACTCCTGCTACCAAACTTGCGCTGTCGGGCACTTCTCACCAGCAGGCTGAAGCTATCTATTCACAGCAGTGTCTACTAGGTGCTCTACATGACTGCAGTCTATGTAATAAAGCCAGGGGTCAGGAAGAATGCAGCTCATCCTATGGGCACCACCCCGGACCTAAGTAAGCAGGTAAGCTTAGGAAAACTTTTATTTCATTTTAAGTAAAGTAGCGGCTATTGTGCTTTCTACAGCAGCAAGCTCTCCCTGGAGACTCACCTCCTCCCCACCACCTCAGGGAGCTCTAATCTCATGGGGAATCTGGTGTAAAGTTACTTTCTAATAATTAATGTTCTGACATCAAAGTCAGCATGCAGCTGTCTGTAAACCATCTTTAGCCCAAGAAATGAAGGGACGCCGGCACAGATTTTATCCAGCCTCTCTCTTCAGCTTCAAAAACCACACACAGGCAAAGCATTAATGGGAAGATTCTTTTACAAAAATGGACCTTTGATGTTTAAAAATAATTTGTTTTGTTTTGGGTTTTTTCCTCAGGACTGAAAAGGGACAAAAAGCAGATGCCATGTGGCTAGCCCTGCTCTGCTGTTGCTGCTGAGAGCAAGGAGAGCAGAGGATGGCAGGAATGGAGGAGGGAACAAAATGTAATCAATCAGCAGCAAAAGCACCAGAGATCAAAGGGCCTGAAAGCAGCAGTCAAAATCACATGCTGTTTAACACAAGAGCAGAACCCCCCCAACAGAATCTGCAGCTGCTTCCAAAGCTGCTCTCAAACTGGAAGGCAGCCTGGCTCCAGAAGTGCCTCTGAGTGGTTTGAACTGGACTGCAATTCTGAGAAAGATGCTGGATCATGAGAGTTCTTAGGCCACCGCTGTTCAGCTCAACTGTGCCCAACAGCACAACTTCACATTAAGCTGTAGCCAGTAAAATGATAAAATGAGTTCTTTCTCTCCAGCCAGCATACGGAGAGGTGCGGACAACAGCACTGGTGAAGATTACCACCACAAACCCTTGCATTTCTTCCTTCCTTCCTTTTCAGACACAATTGAAACGCCTCCTTTCCAAATCTCTTATGGGCGGGAGTGCGATTGAAACAATCAACACATAAGACTGGACAAATCACCCAGCCTACTGTTTAGTTCTCCATGCTCAGGGTCTGTTCCCAAAGGTTAAATAACAGTGATTAGATGGACCCAAACATGTTTCTAATATACTGAAATATTCAACACTGGGTTGGCAAGGCCTCCTTCTGCTGCATTTGTAACTGCTCCAGAGTCCTTCCAGGGTCTGGCTTCTGCTCCTAAACAATTCAGAAACTCATCAAGAATGGACTGCAATCACAAAGAAGTCAACCAAGGTAGAATCCCTACATCAACATGAGAGCATACACATAGTCTTGTTAAATTCCTCCTGGATCAAGCTCCCTTTGAACCTCATCAGGCACCCTTTCCTTCTACATATGGCTTTCCACTGTTTAGTTCCATGGCTGGATCAGAACCAGAAATAAACACAAAGCTCCAACTGCAGGAGGTACTAAAGAGTGGGAAACAATGAAGGGGATCTCTGAACACTAATGCCAGCCCTAGTGATGACGAGTGCAGTGAAGGGGCAAGGAAAAGAGCTGGTCACAAAGAGCCCAGGATGTGAAACTCCCCATGCACAATAATGTGGAGTAAGACATTAATTTAATGCCCCCTGTACTCCATTTTACACTACTTGCCAGACGTACCCAACCTTACTGAAGGCATTTACTTCCATACAGCTGCCTTACATAAAGCATACTTAACATCATTCAAAGGCCATCCTCTGATGGCATCACAGCGCTCTTGAGCCACCTCTACATGGGCTAACGCATTTTTATTTTAACCAATACTGTTTTACATGAGAGACACCCACAAAGATGACATATATGCAATTTGTCTTTCTGGGCAAAGGGTTAGAAAGAGGTAGACTTAATTTAAGAGGCTGGATATTTTGGGGCAAGAGAGAAGACACACTTACATGCAAGCAGAAATAGAGAAGGAAAAGGATGGAAGGTTTCTGCTTCATTCGCAATATCAAAAAGATTAAGACTCTCAGAAGAGACAGGACTAGACTGAAAGGAAGAGGAGAGGTCCAGACCTGTTTTTTCCAAATATCGAACTCTTGGCAAGTAAGATGCAACTATAGTCGAAAAATTCCTTCCCTACATCTAAACATTCTACCACACCGAAAGACTTGAACTATAAGTAAGAGGGACCACAGCAGAAGGAACTCTGAGGAAGCAGATGTTAACAACTGCAGAATGGGATACTGCTTTTACAATAGCTTTAGTATGGAGTTCCACGTTCCACAGGAAGGCTCAGATGAGAAATCTGAGCATACCTTACAATCTAAGAGTTAGAAACCCCAAGCATCTTCTCAGATCTTCTAAGTCATGGGATCAAGTTGCAACAAACCTATTAAGACTGCTTCTGCTTCTAGGACAATCGTATAACAAGCTAGAAAAGTTATCCCTTTCCACACGTAAAACTCTACGAAGCTTATACCTTCTGCATGATCCGGGAGATAACTCGGTCACAACAAGCAGTAAGCACCTTCAGGGCATTATAAAACCCAACTCTGACCAAACTCTGCTCATCTTCAGCAAAACTACACAGCAGATAGTAATTTTTAAAAGAAGGACATGTGCCCAGGGCTCAGGTGACAAAATGGGCATTTGTTAATGAAATTTGCTTGGAATGTGAGGCACAGAGATTGAGGCTCTTCTGGACTGTGCTTTTAATGCAGTGTGTTGCCTCCACTATAACCATTCATTAAGGACACCTCAAGGTATCAAGCTCTGCTTGCCTCTGGACAGCAAATTCTTAAATTCCCATCCTTCATATTTGCTATAGTAAACTGTCCAAAATGCAATACTTCCTTTCTGAACTCCTGGCAGACCTGCGTGACACCAAGGCACCTAATCCCATATTATGGGGGAAAAGTCTTAAGTATGGAAACATCTATTTCTTCACAGGGCCTCAGCTTCAGGCAAGGCAGGGTAATAAAAAGCCTTCACTGCAAACAAATTTTTCCTTACCTGTTCTTGCTCCTTTTGCAGTTCTTGGCTGTTCTTAGACTTCTTTGGCTTAGAAGGGCCTCCAGGGCTCGAAAAAGTTGTTGGCAGCTTTGAAGAGGGCATATCTAACCCAAGAGATGGTGCAGCTACAGAAGAGTCACCCAGACGCTGTCCATCTCCAGAAAAAGGGACAAATGGGGTACATTCAGGTTTTGAGGAAGGCCCCTGCTCCTCCAAGCTGGCATGAGATTCTCTAATCGAGTCTTGTTCATCTGTGCAGCTGTTGGAAGACATGGCCACATCCTTGTGGTCCAAGTCCTTTGGGAATGTGTTTGCTTGAGGTAGGGGCACATCCACTGCTCCTTCAATAGAGACTGGCCTCGCTGTCAGCTCATTACACTGCACCGTGGCACCCACAGCTTCCTCCTGACCAGATGAACTGCATTTCTTCATGACAACTCTTAAAGAATACACCAAAAGGAATAAAAACAAAATCATTTATCCTAACAGTACTGACCTCCCCATTCTCAATGTGGCCATGATACAAAAAAGACAGCTAGACTCAAATATACCCCTAATTTAATGATCTGCTCCTTCCAGACACTCACTAAGAACAAGACCCAATTGCTCTGAAGTTAGGGGTAGGGGGACAGAGATTTGTGAAAAAAAAACAAAACAAAACAAAAAACCAACCAACCAAACAAACAAACAAAAAAAAAACCCCACAGAACAGGAACTACCAGTGCAGGAGGCACTGCAGGGACTGGAAGTTTAATGCTTGAAACCCAAAGCAGGGAAGAATGGAGTGGTAGATGATTGTCCTCTCAGAGACTTTTAACTTTGAATTGTCTGTTTCACTCACAGGAAAAAAAAAAAAAAACAGCAAACAAGCCCCTTTAATCTGCACATGACTGGTCAGTGCCAACATCTACAGCTGTGGGAAGCGCATCTGGGCAGCAGTTTCAGATAAACAGGCAAATCAAATGCAATGACTACTCAGTGCTGCAATGTTTGTCTTTTTGAACTTTTTTTGTGCCTTTTTTTGGGGGGAAAGGTATTTGAAACGAAACAAATTCACCACCAGAGTGGAAAGGAAAAATAAAGAATCCAAACTTTGCTCCTGCCAACCTGATGATGGCATTGCCTCCAGTCAGGCCAAGTGACTTCAGTGTTGTCTTCTCTAGGGCATCTTTTCCTGATATCTGCAACAAAAACAGAGGAAAGTAATTATGGCAACTGCCTAACTGGGAGAGCATTTAAAGTGCTTTTTCTAGAAAGAAGTCGGTATCAAAACAAATACCATACAGCACCAAAACCAGCTCAAAACACACTTTCTGCAGTTGGAAATGAGACCTGAATCCATCTGTATTCACCTTTAATGCTTTATCAAATTCACTGCTTACTAAATGATCCCAAGGGAAGATGACCTACATATATTTCCACCCCATACATATACATCCAAATCTAATCTGACCTCAGCAAAGCATTATTTTTATCACAGAAGTTAAATCACAGGCAACATCTCAGAGCTGAAAGGCAGTCAGTTTCATTATATACACCTCCCATCTGCTTGTAATGACCTGTTCCAGAATAAAGATGATCTGTCCACAGAGGTCAGTGGGAAGTGAAGGGGACAGCTAGGGAGAGCAAATTCCATAATACGCACATACAAAATATTAAACAAAACATTAATAGCAAAAGATCAAAACACAGAGAAAAGCAAATATTTATTAAAATTAAACCACTGTTTTGACTCAAGCTTTAAAAGAAGTTGGAAAGAAAAACACAAACAGGTCATTGAGCTCATTTTATGGGCTCAGAGGTCTAAACGGCCCAGGGTTACGTTCCAAGAGAGCTTTTTTCCATACAGACACGTCATGCTTTGACAAGACCAACATTCTTCTACTTCCCCTCTCAAGAAAGTTCAAAAGAAACACTTTCCAGGTTGGAAAGCAGAGTTGAGTTTTTCTTATTTTTTAGGGACAGAAGGAGAAGAGGCAGTTAAGAAGACTTTGCTGACTTACCTCATCTCGCATGTAAATACAGACTGGAGAGAATTCACCATGCTGTTCCATAAACTCCCTGCAATAAAGAGCAAAATACTGAAGCATCTGTAGAACGGTCTACCCACCCAAAACCAACGTAGAGCAATAGTAAGAAGTGAAATTAGCTAGCAACACTCTCCTCCATGTTACTGTCGACAAGATGCTACTCCTCCCACTTCCCTCTAGATAAGCAATTCTGAGACATTCAAGTAGAAGAGAAGCTTTATTACATATTCACTTGATCAAACACAGAAGATGGACAGGGAAAAGAAAATCACTGCCTAGCATAGCAAGTCTCAGTTCTCATCCATCCAAGATCATGCAATTTCAAAAGAGAGCATGTGTGGAAAACCTTACCACAGGGTGTTCTTAATAGGAGGGGGGAAAAAAAAAAAAAAAAGAAAGAAAAAAAAGGACTAACACTTTTATCATCCAAACCTCAGATGCCTGTAGAAAAGCAAAAAGCCTTAACGAATTAACCAGTACATTGTTCAGTACACTGAAGCACTGAAATCAGTGAATTAGATTCAACAGCAGAGGAAACTCTCTTTCATGTTGGTCTCCCCTTCAGCAGATTAAGTGAAACTCAAACTAAAATCAGCTGAGAATGGGATAAAACATGAAATTAAGGAGAATAATAGTTTGCTTCTCTCCCTCAAACACACAAAGGGCAAAAGGTGGCCAGGAGAACGCTATCCCTGCTGAGACAGTGGTGGTTCAAATACAACTGGCTGAATTCTCATAAGGACTTTTTTCAAAAGTTTTACATTCAAGAGTTTCAGCCTAACTTAGCAGGGGAAACTACAAAACAAAAGGTGACAGTTGCCCCAGGATATTCCCTATCAACACAATGAGAACTGAGATTTATCCTTCTCCATAACACTCCAGTAGCTCTTGTTAGCACATTCTGTCCTGAGTTCTCTGTCATTTCAGTTGCAGCAGGACATCCCTTGGTAAGGAGCTGGTATATACCATCTGCACTGCAACAGCTGTTCTATCGTCAAAAGCAAAACAGCTGAAATTCTTCCTCATGGTAAACGCTCTTGATCTTAGTGCTCTCTGGAGTCCAGTCTGGCGGAGCGGGGAGAGAATGGCTTTTCCCTGTGCCTCACCCCAGCAGGAAAGTGTGCTGGGTTTGCAGGGCAGGCAGTGGGGAAAAGGGCTACATGATGGCCCCTGTGAGAAGCTCTGCAAAGCTCCCCTTGCTCCAGGAAAGCTAGTCATCCCTATCTTATTTTCAATGGATTTTGTTTCCAATCAGGATCAGCTGCATCCCTACAGTAACCCTCAATAAAAGTGCACAAAAGATAAAAGACTGCTGAGACATGGAGGAAACAGTACAGACTCACAGCAAAGGCAGATGAAACAGTCCAGAGGAAAAAAGGGTTGAACCTCAAGTGGCCTGTCTATCAGGAAAGGTGGTGATCACCACATAGGAGAGAAGCCAAATCACAATGGAACATGTCCTCACCACACAGACCCATAAGAGAATAAACCAATTTGACTTACACCTTTCCAAAACTGCTTTCCACTTCAATCCAAGCAACTCTTTGGATTGAAGAGCCTTCTAAAAAATGCATGGAAAATATCTGAACTTAAGGAGTGATACCACAAAGGTAGCAAAGAGTCATAGCCATTGTCAAACCTGTCTTCAGGTGTCCAGGCTGCAATCACTTCTATGTAAATCAGTCTACAAAGCTGCTGAAGCTGACAGACAGGCAAGAGTAGGAGACGGAAAAGCAACAGCTCTCCCAGGCCTAATGCTAAAAGGGTATACAACGCTTGTGCCCTCAACCAGCCTCTGCAGAACAGACTCTAAGGAAAGATTCCCCAGAGACTTATTTTTGTACAACTCCTGGAAGCCAGCAGGCTCCTCCTCCAGCTGCTGTTAATCCATTACATGCATTCACTGAAGCAAGCACACACATCAAACACACTGTCATTTCTTTGATGTGCTGTTCTTCAGAAGGGGAACGGCAAGCAGATTAGATTCCTTCATGTAGTGATCTGACAGGGCCTGTAAACATCTTGTGCAAGGACTGCCGCATGCTGAGAGGAGGAGCAGCCTTACAATAGCTTCCAGACCTTCTTCAGACCCAATCAGCCAACATGGACACTGGAAACTTGGGGGAAATTCCAGTGGATTTAGAATACTTCCCCTCACGCACTTCAAGCGGCTGAGCATTCCAGGAAAATGTCTCCAACTGGAAAGTCAAAGGAAGGATTCAGCAAAAGTCAGCAACTAGCTTACTAGTTAGTCAACTCAGTCAATACACACTGAAAAGCAGCACAGCCCATGAAATCTATATGGATGGTTATAGATCCAGCCTGTTTTGCAATTAAGTCACACGTAGTATCTTTGCTGCTTGTTGGACTTAATCAAAAGTTTGCAAAGTCCATCCAAACATCTGAGCTCAGCTTCCAGAGGGCAGAAAAAAACAGCTGTGTCCCATGAACTGAAGTTAATAACGCTTAGCGCACTGTAGCAGTTTGAATCTTAAAAAGAGCAGCATGTACATTAACTATTAGTATTACAATAACCTGTAACAAATAAAACCACTCCAAAGGAGAAAAATTATATAAAAATATCAAAATTTAAACCAAAGAAATAACCAACTAATGTGTGAGAAGGCCACACAAAGGCTATTTGTCACTGTCTGTAATTACCACCCCCACCGGTCTACCAGTTCTCAAAACTGCAACAGGCACTCTTCTCCCAGAGAGCACACAGTGTGTAATAAGGTACAAGAGCGGCCTTAAAACATCCAGGAAAATTGTACTTGGCTTTTCTTGCCTACCTCTTTCCTCAATCAAAAGAAAAAGAATTCTTTTCTCTCTGGCATTTACATGAAGACTGTCCCCTTTGACTCAAGAGTAAATGCCACAGTGTAGACCTGATCCCTGATGGTTAAAGACGAAAAGCAAATGGTAATGAAGCCTCATTTATATCACTTTAGAGTCAAAAGTTTTGACACAGAAAGCTACTGTCTCTAGATGAGCATTTAATTGGTTTGAGAAATTAACAAAAATTGTTCAAATTTGCACAATAGGATAGCACAGCATTTGTACAGGTGAGCAAGAGATTCGAATGCAACAAAGCAACTAGCAGGTGAGGAATGCAAGAGAAAGAAAAAGCTAGAAATATAGGATCTGAAAAAACATTCTATCAAGAGCAAGGTAAACCCAACTACAATAGAAAAAAAATTAAATTTGGAAATTCTGTTCAGAATAGAATGGTTGTCACAGCTTCAAGGCTTCATCTTCCAAACCATGAAAAAAAATAAAAGTACTCTCTTTGTTGAAAAGTTTATTAGCTTGACATTTCAAAATAATACAGTATTTTTAAGTCACAACTAAAGACAAAAGAAAGCACTGAATATACACTGGATTCAAATAAGAACCCAGATATATATTCAATAAATGTAGGACCAGAAATTCTTCCATTTAAGCAGGATCTAATCAGTCTTTTCAAGATTCCACATTAACCTGCTGAGAACTCCAGATTTCCTTGAAGAACTGGCACAAGAGCAAGCCTCAAAAACAAGAGCAACTTGCTTCAGAAAGAACCCCCTCCACCACATGGAACCGCAGCACAGAAACACTGGTGATCAAGATAATCCAGGCTACCACCTCAACCCTGGCAGTAACTCGACTTCAAACAAGTTTGTGTTAAAAGACAGGTGGGGAAAAACATATCCAAGTACAGGTTCTTCCTAGCCTTAGCAGTTTGTTAACAGTTTATGCCCTGAATCAGGACTGCTACTCCAGGATTAAAAAATAATAATGAAACTATGAAGCGTCAATCTGAAAGAGCAGGGAAAAGGCAAAAGTCCGTGCTGCAAAGGAAAAAACAGTGTCAAATAAATGCAAGTTCTACAAACCTGCAGGATTTAGCTGGATCACCATAACAACTAACTACTTATGCAGAGATCCATCTAAACAAATATTTTCTCACTGCATTGCTCACCTGATCTTTGCAAAATGGTTGAGAAGTTCCCACAAAGTCTGTTGACAGAGAAAGGTGTCCTGTAAACGGGAGCCATCATCTAGTTGCAATGCGATCCGAACCTATATGAAAAATACACTGAATTCATCTGAAAATTGAATGAAAACTTTTTTTCTTCACAACTTTTTTCAATCTTTCAATAATGTCTAGAACCTGCTATCCAAAAACCCATTACTTCCTTCTAAACACTTGCTGCAAATGATTACATTAGTTAAAAATGCAGAGGAGTATTGGAATGATTACTTTAGAAGTTAATATTTAGAATAGTTCTATTCTGCTATGAATATTAGTACTCGAGGATCTTACGAGAGACAGTGTCAAAGGCCCTACTGAAGTCCAGGCAGATGATATCCACAGCTCTCCCCTCACCTACCAGGCCAGTCATTTTATCATAGAAGCTTATCAAGTTGGTCAAGCATGACTTCCTCTTGTTGAATCCATGCTGGTTACTCCCAATGATTTTCCTCCCGTTCATGTGCCTGGAAACAGTTTCCAGGATTAGGTGCTCCATGACCTTCCCAGGGATCGAGGCGGGGCTGACCCACCTATAGTTAGTTCCCTGTGTCCTCCTTCTTGCCCTCCTTGAAAACAGGAGTGACATTTGCTTTCCTCCAGTCTTCAGGTACACCTATCAAGAGTAGCCTTGAATTGACATCTGGCAGCTCCCTCATCACTCATGGCTGCATCCCAGCAGGGCCCATGGACTTACATACATTCAGTTTGCTCAAGTATTCCCTGACCTGATCCTCCTCCACCAAGGGAACATCTTCCTTGCTCCAGCCTTCCCTCCTGGTCTCTGGGATTCCTGAAGGCCGGTTTTGCTAGTAAAGACTGAGGCAAAGAAGGCATTCAGCCTTTTCCATGTCCTGTGTAACAAAGTCTCCTGCCTTGTTAAGCAACGGGCCTCACATTTTCCCCAGCCTTTCTTTCGTCACCTGGGTACTTAAGGAAGCTCTTCTTGTTCCTGGCCAGACTCAATTCCACTTGGGTTTAAGCATTTCTAACTTCATCCCTGGATGCTCGGACAAGGTCTCTCTGTTCCTCCCTGGTTACCCACCCTTGCTTTCACTCTCTGTATGCTTCCTTTTTGTCTGAGTTTGACCAGGAGCTCCTTGTTCATCCATGCAGGCATCCTGGTACTTTTGCCTGACTTCCTATTTGTTGGATTGGTCTGCTGTTGAGCGTGGAGGAGGCAACCCTTGAATATTAACCAGCTTCTTTGGGCCTCTCTTCCCTGCCATATCCTGAACTGAAATATATTCAGACAAAGGCCAACGCGAGCATCCAAATAATGTGTCATTACGAGCACTTGAGATGTTCTGTTTTACACCAGCTGAAACTTTACAGCAAGGGTATTTGCAGCGATATAAAATTAATCTAAATAACTTAGGATTGATGCAGCTGCACAAACTAAAACACCAACCCAGAGCTCTGTCAACTTAAGCATCAATTTGCAGAACAACTTCCCTGATGCAGAACAAACAGTATATACATGCACATCCACACAAACAACGAACACAGTCCAAATCTACCTTTCAGTTACTGAGAACCTAACCAACGATTATCAGTTCAAAGAGACTACATGTGTGACTTGTAACTCACTAATGCTTCCTAACCACAAAATTTTTATATACAATTTAAGAGTGAATTAATTTAAAAATATATATATATATAGTTCTGGACGTTCAGTTATCAAGTTCTTAAACACCTGCAGAAAAAGGCAAAGTACAGCTAGCTGCCTATTCTAACACGTCTTTTCCAACCTGGAATGTGAACATGCATGTTCATTACTAGAAGCTCACGCAGATCCTACATATTCTTCAGATAACTGCTATCAAGAAAAAAAAACCCAAGGCATTTCTAAAATGAACACACTGAGGACAGTCCTGAAGAGGAGAGAGAGGAGAGAGAAAGAGAGAGGAAGATGGGAAAAAACAGACACCACACACTCCAGCAACCAGCTGTGATTTCAGTGGAGGAGTATGTTTGTCATCTGCCTCGGCTCCTGCCAGTCCTTGCAGGACTGCACATTGTGACCTGCTGGATTTTTCTACATAAAGGAAACAGTGGCATCATCAACAACCAGCCTACAGAACCAAGTCATTTCATCCCACCACTAACACAACCTCCTGGCTTCTCCTGTGCTGGAGACAAGCCTTAGATTATTCTCAGCTACAGCAGAGTGATGACAGCTGACATCACCATTCTATAAGAATCCAGACCAGAAATTCAGACTACCAGTTGCATCAGTTTTTGGGCAACAGTTCAAAGCTAAGCATGACACAGAAGTCCTATTCAGTCAATTAGAAAGGTCTTTTTAAAAATCTTAGGCTCTCTATAAAATAATAGAGAGACCAGCGCCAATTATCTTCTAAGTTTACAAACATATAAACAAAAGGCTAACAATTCTAACACTAGAACTGTACTGATGGTAACCCCAGATCACTTGCCATCACAATGGGAATTTGTTCAATTTCTCACTGAAGAACTGTCTTACAGGAATTAATGATTTTTACATGGGAAGGCAAATCCAAAAGCATTCTATTTCAAAAAATATCAGATGTGCTGAACAAACTAGTCAATTTATTGAAGTTTGTATTCTGTGTCTAGGGGTAACTGCTACCAATGCACCACAGGAATGCATACCTATTTCCAAGCACATTATTTCAATAAAAGAGACAATACCAAAAGGCACAGAACCAAATTCATCCCCACATTACTGCAGCCAGCCTGCATGATTGAGCCCACATCTCAACCGCCACTATATTAGAGCATAATACTGGTGTGAGTTCTAGTCACGCTTATCCAACCGTTTTAAACTTCCTACAGTACTTGACCCCAGTTCCCTGTGGCAGGTAATTCTTTTGGTCAGTTGTTCTGTACAAATTATTTTCTTGTACTGTCTGTAAAATTTCTTCCAAGTGAAATCTCTGCTTTTAGTTTATGAGATAACAACTCTGCTTAGACTGCACCTTTCACAAGCATATTTGCTCTATCTTCTCAACTCCACAAAACAGCAATGAGCACTCCAAGGGAAGCCTCACTTCTGTAGATTCCTCTGTTGAAATACAACTAAACAGTAACAAATTTCCATTAGCTCTTCTCTTTTGTGATCTGAAGTAGTGATTCCATGTTATAACCCCTCCCCTAGAGCACAGTCCTTCTCATCCTTTCTGATACGCTGCACTTATCTTCTTGGAAAAAGAAATAAAATAAAATCCCTGTTTTCCTTCAGTAGAATACCTCCCAAACCAGATGCAAATGTCAGATAAAGTCATCACTGTACTATTTCAATAGAAACACTTTCTTCTGGAAGACAAACTCCATGCCATCACAACTTTTTTTAACTGAAAATTTTAAGCAGATGCTACCAGCTTGTGGTATTTTTTTTAACTAAACACATCACTTGGAGCACAAAATTCTTTCTACCACAAAGTCAGAAACATCAGTGACAAAACAAAGCACAGGGAGGTTTTACAGAGGAAAGCCCTGTGATCCCCAAAACTATGTTGCACACCCAGAGTGAACCAGAGCAGATTCCAGTTGCCTCACACTACAAAGTTCACTTTTCAATGTATGTTATCAGTTACCTGTAACAAAAACACCACTAACACAATTTGGCAGACAGACATTAAGAGATTAGCACTAATAGACCTGAAACTTTCACAAAAATTGAGAAACTCCATATGAAGAAGTAGCGTGAAGAGAGATAATAGTCAAATTTTCATTCTCAAGCTACTTAAGTAAGATCATACATAATTTTTACCTTATTAACACTTATATAATGCCACTTTTATGCTTTAAGCTACTAAATTACCATTTTCCACCACACCTCAACCAGTCTTCGGGTGGTCTTCCGCTCAAGTACTGGCCAAGCCTAACCATACTCTTGCTCATTAGATCTGACAAGATCATACCCAGCATGACTGATAACTGAACAAAACAGGTCACACTGTAAAATGAACATACCGTGTTTCCAATTCCCACTCTATTGGAGACTGGTACCATCTCCAGCTTGGCATTGTTGGGCAGTCTGGCAAATCTCCACTGTAAAGAGAGATCCAACACGCTTCTCTGAAACCTAAAGAAGAACACAGCCCTTGAATATGCCAGTAACCATTCTATGCCATCTCACTTCAGAGACTGGCAACAACACAACATCCAGGCACTGAGAAAGAGAACTCATTACAGGCTGACTAGAAACCACAGAGCAAGAAATGCACAACTTGTAATTCAGAAAAGAGTCATCAAAGTTTATTCCACATACCAAAAGAGCTGCAGTCTGTAGAGATCGCAGATAAAACACTCAAATATATGTTCCTCCTCAGGCTTTAAGAGATAAACTGAATACATATGCAACCCTGATGTTCACTATTAAATAAAAAGGTTTGTTTTGGTTTGGTTTTTTTTACTGATACTCAGACAAATAACCTCGATTATGATGCTGTACAAGTAAACAGGCAAACCACCAGGTAAGCCAGGAGAGTCCTACCAGTCCGTGAGCTAGCAGAAGTGTGCGTGTGGGGAGGGACACCCTCGTGGAAGTCATGCAGGACCTCGGTATCAATCCCAGAAGCAAAGGGAACTCGCACAGGGAAATGGGGAGAGATTAATCTGAACGAAGTAAATTTGCTGGAGAGGCCTCTGAACCAAAGCCCGCAGAGCCCTCTCTCCACGGGGATGACCGTGAATAATTTCCTCGTGCGTTATCACGCACGGCCCACGTAGTTAAGCACTAGAAGGAAGGCTGACCTCGCCGCACGGCCAAGGGCCCCCGCATCCCTTTCGGACACCCGCCCGCCTTCCAC